ATTAAATAAATAGTAAAATTTTGCAAATAAAAAAACTTTCCTACATTTCACTTATTTTCAACTACAAAAATTATGAAGCATCCAACTATTAAATAATTTCAAATATAAGAAATATCAACTAAATGTTTTTAAACAGTTTTACTTTAGTTTTCACTAATTTTATTTTCCTAACCCGAAAAAAATCCAGTTTTAAAATGTATTTCACAAGTTATTTTGAAATAAAAACATACTTGAAACTCAAAAATATTTTGCATCTAAGTTGATAAAGAATGCAATTTTATGAGTATATGTTAAGTCAGTATTCGCCTACTCAACGCTAAGGTCTAGGGCCAACTTGATATTCATTCATTCAATAAATACTAATGACCTATCTGTAAAACACTGTACCAAAACCTGTGAGAGAAATAACAAGTCATTTAAAAAGGTCAAAACTACTGCATCACGTTGCAGATCAAAGCTCCTTAAGAGTAACATACTTTTCTGTCTCAAATATAGTTACAAGTCCATAGAGATTTAAATTAAGTTGAACTGAAGTTTCTCTTTCTGAAGCCACTGGTTTCTGAATGGTATTGAAAAAAACAAATTACTAATGCTTTAAACTGAAATTATATTCCTAGCATTACCTCCACTTCCCTGTCCAATTCAAATACTGCAAGAAAACCCATTCTGGTAAGAAAGAAGAAAAAGAGACAGAGAGAGAAGGATAGAAGCTGGGAGGCAGGGTGGGAGATAAAGGAAAAAAAAAAAATAGGTTTAATTGAAAAAATTTAAATGGTGACAAAAGAAAATGGGCAAAGGGAGAAATTTCTACAACACTAAGAGAACTGCTCTCTAGGGCAGGGACTGGCACACTTTTTCTGTAAAAGATCAAAGAGCAAATATTTGCAGGTTTTTTTTTTTTTTTTTTTTTTTTTTTTTTTTTTTTTTTTTTGGAGACAGGGTTTCACGCTTGTTGCCTGGACTGGAGTGCAATGGCACGATCTTGGCTCGCTGCAACCTCCAGCTTCCAGGTTCAAGCGATTCTACCACCTCAGCCTCCCAAGTAGCTGGGATTATAGGCATACACCACCACATCCAGCTAATTTTTGTATTTTTAGTAAACATGGGGTTTCAAGATGTTGGCCAGGCTGGTCTCAAACCCCTGACGCCAGGTGATCCATCCTCCTCGGCCTCCCAAAGTGCTGGGATTACAGGCATGAGCCACTGCACCCGTCCTATATTTGCAGTTTTGAGGCCCATATGGTCTTTCACAACAGCTCAACTATGGAACTGTAGCTGAGAGCAGCCGTAGACAATAAGTAAATGAACACGAGTGGCTGTGTTCCAAAAGAACTTTGTTTACAAAAACCAAGTGGCAAGTCAAATTTGACCCAGGTTCATAGTTTGCTGACCCCTTGCTGTAGGGGAAAAAATTCAAAGGACTCAATACTGGCTACAGATAAATGTCTAATTAACTACTGTATAATCTGCATTTTAAAATAAAAGAAATACTCTTTAAAGTGTTTCCCAAATAAACATTTATGTAAGTTATAATGAGTTCCATTTTCTAGGCATAACTACCAAATCTGATATTAAACTCTAACTTCTTTCCTGACTAAAAGTAATTTTTGTGAACAAAAGGAGCTATTGGTTGGGCATTTATAAGGTTTGGAAAGAAGATATAAAGTATGCTTTGAGTCATTTAGCATGAATTTATTAGTAATAGTAGCCAAAGCACCAGGCAAAAGAGAAAAGACTAAAAGGAACTACAACCTGTTGGCTCCCCACAATAGGTCAATTTCAATTGTTTATTCAGGCCAGTAGTTGTGAGTGAAAGAGGCAATAAGGAATATAAGATTTTTATTTGTTCTCATTACCACCTTCTTCTAAGATTACAGATAGGCAACACTTTGGGAGGCCTAGGTGGGTGGATCATCTGAGGCCAGGAGTATGAGACCAGCCTGGCCAACATGGTGAAACCCCGTCTCTACTAAAAACACAAAAAAATTAGCCAGGCATGGTGGCGGGTGCCTGTAATCCCAGCTACTTGGGAAGTTGAGGCAGGAGAATCGCTTGAACCCAGGAGGTGGAGGTTGCAGTGAGCCGAGATCGTGCCACTGCACTCCAGCCTGAGCAACAAAGACACTTCTGTCTCAAAACAAAACAAAACAAAAAACACAAAGATTACAGATAGGCTTTACCTTGTCTATAATGATGAATTAATTACTCATAAATTTATTGAATTTATTTTTAACATGCATAACTTCCTGATGAAATGCATTCCAAAACTTAATATTCTATTATGTGACCCAGTGCTTTAGTATTTCGTCTTATTCTTCCTAAACCTGCCTCTCTAAGCTCCACAAAAAGCTATCTCATGTGGTTAATTTTTAAACAAATGGAGTCTATATTCCTATTTTCCATTTTTTTTTTAGTCTGATCTTATCGATGTGTTACTCAAGAAATCTTATTTCTGACTGGATTCAGACTTAGAAGTAGAAGCTCACAGAGAGGAAAGTCTGAATTTCTTGGCAATTTGTTCCTGGCGCTTCTGTTTAGCCTCCTTCATTCTCTTGGCCGCAAGTTAAGCATATTCTGCAGCCTCTTCCTAATTTTTCTTAGTATGCTGCTTCTCAGGCAATATGCCACCATTTGTGCTGCAGGACATGTGGAGTAACAAGACGCTGAATCTTGGGTGCTTTGGTCCTAGGTTTCTTACCTTCTTTGTTTAAAGGCTTTCTTACAACATACTGGCGGACATCATCTTCTTTAGAGAGATTGAAAAGTTTGAGGATTCTGCTAGCTTTTTTGGGCTCCAGGCGACGAGGCACCGTAGGTGCCAATAGAATATATTGAATATTCTTGATATTCAATCCAAGAATATACTTTTCTCCTTTTTTAACAATAACCAAGTTAGAATGCTCCAATTGGCATCCACAATGCAACCACAAACTGATTTTCTCTTTCTTTCTCCAGTTCTTCTTGGTCTGTAACAGGAATGCCCCTTACTCATTAGCAGGTGGACACGGCCATGAATCAAGATACCCCGCTTCACGGGGAATCATTGTTTGTCGTTACCACCACTGATTAGGACCTCATAACCCTTCCATTCTTCAACCAAAGCATCAGCAGCAACTTCTGTGGCCATATGCTTCTCATAAAAAGTGCAGTTTGCGTTTATTGTCCACTTCAATGAGTTTCTGGCAGCCAGTGGCTGGGAAGGAGATGTCCAGTTTCATCTTGAAGCAGGTGAATGCCTCCGAGGTACCATGAAAAAGAGCTCATTATCCATTTTATTTAGTTATTCATTCACTCATTTTTAAAAAATCCTATCTCCATTGGTTATCTATTTTTTCATATACCTTGACCATTATAACTGCCATTTGGGGAACTTTCTTGATCTCTGAAGTCATTGTGTAGCAGATACTACCAGCAACCCAACCATATTGCCTCATCATTCACCATTCCCTACACAGCAATATTGGCTTACTATAAGTGTCTGTTACATGCTGCCTGAGCGCTTTCTCTAGCCAGTGAGTTTCAGAGAGCTAACAATTCCCAGGATCAGCCCTGGACCAACAACAAAGGAGAGTTGATAAATAAATACTCCAACTTTTTTGTCCTCTGTATAGGATAACTCTGAGGTCTTTCTACCCAGTCTCCCAGAAGAAGTCTCCACAAGATTAAGATGACTGTTTTCCCCAAAGATAGGATTACATATACTGTTCCCTTTTACCACTTTGTAAAAGAACTGATGCAGTCATTGTTTTCTTTTTCTCTTAAGATCCAGCAACGTATTGGAGTGGTGACTTTAGGTACCATCTAAAATGACTCCCAGTGGTCTTACTTGTTAGAACTGATACCTGAGAACCCACCATACTATATATACAATTTGTTTCTGCAGAAATGCATGACTTTGTACTTATTCAACACAGAAATAAATGTACCTGCTACTTCTGGGCAACAGAAATAGTATAAACCAAATTTAAATTTATCTTTATTCAAACAGAAAAATAAGGTATAGAAAAATAGGCCGAGCACGGTGGCTCACACCTGTAATCTCAGGACTTTGGGAGGCCGAGGTGGGCAGATCACGAGGTCATGAGTTTGAGACCATCCTGGCCAACATGGTGAAACCCTGCGTCTATTAAAGTACAAAAAATTAGCCAAGCATGGTGGTGCACACCTGTAGTCCCAGCTACTTGGGAGGCTGAGGCAGGGGAATCACCTGAACCTAGGAGGCAGAGATTGCAGTGAGCCAAGATCGTGCCACTGCACTCCAGCCTGACAACAGCATAAGACTCCGTCTCAAGAAAATAAATAAATAAATAAATAAATAAATAAATAAATAAACAAATAAATAAGGAAGAAAAAGAATCTTCCCATCAAAATCCTTTATTCTCCTTCCAAAGGTAGGAAATATAAGAGCCCTATGTACTATTTTAAGTATCACACTTTGAACACGGAGAAGCCCATAGAACTGAGCCAAAATAGTTACAACAGAGTTAGCACATGGATATATCAAACTCATTAAATCCTTCACTATAAACCTGACGTTGGGTCTGCATATACTTGCTTGAAAAACCACATCATCCTTCAGCCCAGGATAGAACCTTTGGAGATATTGTTAACCTTCCCCATTATCTTAACTCCCACTTCCAACTAGTCCCATCAATCCAACCTCTATAAAGTGTCTTATAGCCATCTCTTCTTCATTCCCATTAGTCCAATGCCAGTCTCTCTTTCCTATGACAAAAACTTCTAAGTTCCCTGTTTTATTTCACTTCTTTATTCTGGGAAATCTATCTGATAACCTAACACTCCCACATCCCATCTAAGATAGTTCAAACCTATGATAGGTCAAGTCCTGAACATCACATACAGTATTTATGTAAAACATACGAATGTTTACATTACTTAGACAACTCACCATTGCCTAAACATTTCATGTATTGTTATCTCTGTTTGGAATGAAGACTAAAAGTAAAAACATTTGCCTAAAGATTAAACAAAATGTTTACCTGTCTGAAGCTATGTCACTGGCAATGTGATGCTTCACGCCTGACCCATTTTTAATAGAATCCTGTCTTGTGAGCCCATGAGATCGACTTTTCTCCACTGCAGGTACAGATAAGTCACCTGAGGGTCCTTGGAACTGGGTCTGCTCATGTAGTTTTGGTTTCTTCTCCTGAGGTGCCTCCTCATTTCTTAGCCCTCGAAGAACCTTTTGATCAGGTTGCTGTGGTGTATTAGTTCCACTATTATAAAACCACGCTCCTGATTTAGTGAGGATTTCTTGTTGTTTTCGGCACAAATTACATACCCACATAACCTGCACATGAAGACATAGGGGGAAAAAAATTAGTGTTCCCAAAAGTTAAAAACAAAGAAAAAGAGACAAAAATTCAAGCAAACAAAAAATTATATGGTTATCCTTCTGAAGTTAAAACATAATCCCAATTAACTGCTACTGTAAATTAAATAATACATACTTTCTTTTAATTTTTCTGAATAATTCTAATGAAATAGACAACATTTATTGACCACAGAGGTAGCAAACTAGAGTCCCAAATTGCTGATTGTTCATTTGTACTATTTAATTTGTTTTATTTAAATTAGAGGCATTGTGTAACACACAGAAAATAGATTTTGAAGCTAGACAGTTGGGTTTAAATACCAACTCCAAAATTAGAAACTTTGCAACTTTCAACAAGGAATTGAATCTTCATATCTATAAAACTTAGTTTCCTTAATGATAAAATAGGGAAATAAAGATGATAATTTCCCTGTATTTTGAGGTTGAATATTAGAAATAATTTATTTAAAATATCTACAATATTACTTGTTATACAGAAAATTAGCTGTTAACATTATGTTAACATTCTATCAGCAATTATATTATTCTTAAGGGGGCTTTTATTTTTTTCAAGTAGCACCTAATGGCTAAAATAAAGCTACAAGCTTTGTTGATCCTCTATTTAAAAAAACCTATTAATTGCTAATAATTTATAGTAATGCACTTGATGTTTTTATTGTGGCAAAAGACACAAAATAAAATTTGCCATTTTAACCATTTTTAATTGTATACCTCAGTAGCAGTAAGTATATTCACATTGTGAAACAGATCTTCAAAACTTTTCTTGCAAAACTGAAACTCTACACCCCATTAAACAGCAACAGCCCTTTTCCTCTCCCCAAGTCCCAGCACAACTATTCTATGCTCAATTTTTCAACAGATATATTTTTTCAGATTCCAGAAATCTAAACATATTGTAATTAATATCTCTGTGGCCAGAAAACCCTTCACCATTTTCCGAAAAATCCTTTTCAATTAATCATTTAAAAAGTCATATTATCATAAAATAAGCGTTCATAATTCAAGTGTATGAGTGCTAATGTTTTATGTCAAATACTTACTCTTACACAGCTCTCCAGGTTGCTAAACATTTTCTCACATGAAATAAATTACAACAGTATAGATAATCACAGTAAAAGGTTCAACATGGTGTTTTCAACTGACACAAAAATGTTTCTGTAAAATATCTCGTAGATTTTTTACCTTATTGTCCATTATTCCAGTTCATAGTTTGTACAGATCTTATCACACAACATTGTACTTGCTCATTTTTATTATTTTTTTCTTTCATTGAATTGTATATATATTTCTTTTCTCCCCAATTAAATTTGAAGCTTATTGAAGGCAGGAACTACATCTTCTACTAACGTAATAAAACCTTATAAATTATAGAATGGTAAGATATAATAAATGTTTGCTAAGTTTAAGTTTTTTAAAATTCTTCTGGGGGAAATATGGTAATAATATATTTGATATTATTAGGCCAAGATGTATGTTCATTAATTTCCTAAAGAATTAGTCATAAATAATATCAATATATGTACGTATTTTATTTTTATAAGTATTTTGATGTGAAAACAACATTATTTCACTGAAATTAAAAAGAATATGCCTCACAGTTCAAATTTCTTTTGCTATAATTGATTTGAATAGACATGAAATACATCTAACCCATCAACAGTCTCAAAATCAAATTTGAGTCAGCATCTCAGTCTTTTGATGCCATCTTGTGACAAATGCAAGTACTGCAGATCTCTTTTTAAAAGTCACGCAAAACAGATCCACAAAATAATGCAAAAATAAATGAAGTTTGAATTTCAACTTTTCTATTTTAAACGAGCTGTTATTTATGCTTCAGTGATAATCTATCCTAGATTATTATAAGATATAAATTTATCTGAATTAGGTCACACTCAGAGTACTGAAAAAGAGCATCCTTTCGTGCCTGGTAATCAACAAATGAAACAGAAATGAGAGCTTGTGAGACAGACAATTATCCAATCACTATCATCTGCAGAAACAGCATTTTGTTGCTTTGTAGCAGTTGAAAAATAAAATTTTTCACAAGGTAAGCAGGTTACTTAATGTATTTTAGAGCAGAGCTTCTAAAAGAATATCCCGGAGAGAATAGCATCAGTATCACCAGAAGTGCAAATTCCCAGGTCCCACCCTAGACTTACTGAATAGGAAACTCTGGGGCAGTTCCCAGTAATATTTTACCCCAAATCCTCCAGGTAATTCTGTTTTCTAACATTTGAGATCCACCAATCTATGGCAGAGATTCCTAGTTCAATATGTTAAATGGGTTACAAGTATGCTCCTCAGACTGGCTAAGACCAAAGGAGTTCATATTCAGCCTTGTCAGTTTACCTTAGTGTGAACTGCTGACTGTACAAATAGTATTGTTTCTGTGGAGCCCAAAATGAGAAAAAGAATTGGAAACACTATCAGCTTAATCTTCCTCATCTGCTAATATCCAGTGAATATTAATATAACACAGATGAGTATAAGGTATGAAGGATGTCTGATTCCTATTAAAGACTCTCCATGTGTTAATATCCTTCTCACGTTGCCTGGGCTATGCACACTGCTTGCTCCTTTTCTGACTAGATCATTTGTTCCCTCCTAAATCACTAGCTCCCATATCCTTCCCTTCCTCCTTTCCTCCCTCCTTTATTCTATATTCCTCCCTCCCTTATCCTATATCCCTGCCTTCCTCCCTTCCTTCTCTCCTTCCTCCCTCCCTTCCTTTCTTCCTTCTTCTTTTTTTTTTTTTTCTTTACTGAAACAGGGTCTTACTTTGTCACCCAGGCTGGAGTTCAATGGCACAGTCTCAGTTCACTATAGCCTCAACCTGCCAAGCTAAAATGATCCTCCTGCCTCAGTCCCTCAAGTAGCTGGGAGTACGGGTGTGGCCACCATGCCAGCTCACTTTTGTATTTTTTGTAGAGATGGGGTTTCACTATGTTGCCCAGGCTGGTCTTGAATGCCTGAGCTCAAGCAATCTGCCCGCTTCAGCCTTCCAAAGTGCTAGGATTATAGGTGTGAGCCATCACGCCTCCTAGTATTTTCTTATTCATGTTTTGACACCTTGGTTACCTTTCTTTTCTTCTTCTACCATCTCCTCCTTCTCTTGGATTAATAGTTTATTAATCCTTTAAGCTCAGGAATTCCAAATCTACCCACATCAAGTACTGTCATGTGCTGCATAACAATAGTTCAGTCAACAAAAGACCACATATAGAAGGGTGGTTCCCTAATATTATAATACTGTATTTTTACCATGCCTTTTCTATATTTAAATATGTTGAGATACATAAACACTTTTCATTATGTTACTACTGCCTACAATATTCAATACAGTAACATGTTATACAGGTTTGTAGCCTTGGAGCAACAGACAATATCATCTAGCCTAGGTGTGTAGAAGGCTAGACCATCTAGATTTAAGTACACTCCATGATGTTCGCGTGACAAAATTGCCTAATGATGCACTTCTGGGACTGTATCCCCATCGTTACCAATATGATTGTAGTACAGAAAAACTGACACTTTCACTTGTAGCCCTTTACACAGATAGCAGCTTAGCTTATAAATTGGTGACAATATTGAACTACCTCTCACAAACACCAGTACCTCTCACAAATACATATATGCTGTGAAATGATTTTTCATTAATTGGCTATGAAATGATTAATGGCTATTAGAGATAAATTCTGTGTCCATGGAACAAAATTTATAGAATTTGGCAATAAAGTCACAGGCCTTTTGCTAATAGAACACTTCAACCAATTACGTTAACCACATAAGGAATGCTGTCTAAAATATCTCAGAAATACACATGCGTATAAATCTCCCTGGTTAGAGACTATTAACCAATTCTCATAATTACCAAAAACATCTAGAACCTGAGAATACAAAACATGTAGGGTTCAAAATTATAGATTATTATTACCTTCAGTCGTAAATAAGCCAAAATTTAAAAAATAATATAGCAATATTAAGAGATGGAATAATGTCTAATGACCCAAATTTGTCACTTACTACCATGTGTTTTATTCCATAAACACCCTGAAAGGAAGGGAAAAACTAAGGAAAATACAAATATCTTTTTTAAACCACAAAAATAACCATAACAGCTGCAGTGAATAGTAAAAGAAAGCAAGAAAACCAAACTTACATTAGGTATATACAATAATTGAGGGCAATCTAAAGGTCTGCAAAATACTATGATTTTCTTCTAAACAGGGACAAAAAAATAGAGTAATTCAAAAAAGGGAGGGATTATATGTTAAAGACTGATGCTAACGAGACCATAGGCCAAGATCCTATGATCCAGCTAACTGCACAGAAAAAGGAATTCACTAGACACTACCTCTAACCATTGCCAACCTGCTCCTAAGTGTGTGTATGCATTTGTCAGAGAGGAAATAAGGTAAAAGAATATAAACTGATCCATTACATAAACAGAAAACTGTTGAAGATTCTGGCTAGCTATTCAACAACTACTTCCTTTCCTCTTAGAAAACTACATTTTCCATGTTATCATGGGCAGCCATGACCATACAATTATATTCTAGCCAATGGATTATAAGTGGAATGGGTGTGCCACTTTCATAAATTTTTTAAAATTCTCATGTGCTATCTTCATGCTGTTCAGCCAAGGCCTTGGAGATAAGGAAACCACAGGAAAAAAAGGTGCTGCCTGGGAACCTGAATAATCACTAGGAGGAGAGCACTCAGCTGATCAGCTCACCAGTGTGGACTTCACATAGGTGAAAACTAAACTTCTACTAAGTTGAGTTTTAAAGACTTTTTGAGTTTATCTTTTATAATTGATAGCATTACCTTGACTAATTCACAGTCTTTTTAAAGTACATGTTTATTCAATGTGTATTACTAGCACAATCTTGTATGTGAAGAACAATACATTACTAGGGCATGAATATGAAAGCGCTTCAATGTTGTTCACTAAC